AAAATAAAAAATTTATATCTTTATGTTTGAAGCCTGAAATGTGGCAAAAGGTTGAAAAGTTCAAGGGGGCCGAATACTTTCGCAAGGCACTGTATGTACATGTAAATGTGGAAACAGAGAGAGGAATAAGAAACTGTGTCCCAATGGCAAGGGTTCTTCTGCAGGTCCATGTGGAAATCCATATCTTCATTACTCCTTGTGAAAGCCAGGTTATAAAGACACTCAGCCTCAAAATTACATTGATTCCACCCCTTGTTTCCCTGTAACTGTTGTACATTGACTGTGATACCACTCCTCGGTCTGTCTTCAACCAAGTGTTTCATTATTTCTAAACAATTCAAATTTTGACTCATTTCTGAGTTCTTCCAGGTTTGGTCATCCTGTCGTTTTATCTCTGCTGCCATTTCCAGCCTTACATTTCGACACCATTCCAGAGCAAAGGCATGGAGATTGAAGAAAGCTATACTGTAAGATGTGAAAAAAGGGTTAACTGATTAATTTCTGCACAAAGACTTAATTTGGTACAAAACATTCCATGCTTAAGCACTTTTGAGTTATGGCAAGGATGGGAGTTTACTGATACAAGATTCCAAGTGTTAGATAGAGACTCCGTAACTATAGGAAGATAAGACCAGCCATTCAATGTGTTCAAGATCTTGTCCGAACACAGGTGACCTCCCCCCATTACCATGGTAACAATTTGCGTCAGAAACAGCTGTTTGCTTTATAAACTGGAGCTTTGTACCTATATTTTTTTAACAATTCCGATCGTTCCTTGCATGCAATAAAACTCACTTGTTCAGCTCATCTCGGGGTCCACTCTTAATGGTCAGTTTTTATGTTTCCTTCCTTGGGGGGGGGGCTTCTAGCTGGCATCTGAAATCCTTATCAGTTATCCCCCTTTCCTGCCATAACTCTAAGCCTGTCTTAGCATGTCTTGTGTCACAAGAAGTCCAGTCCTTGTGCAGAAAGGAATCAGTTAACTCCTTCTTCGCATCTTATATCTTTCTTCAATATAAAGCAGAAAAATGTCTGAATCAATATGCTGCATCGGGCAGTTAAAGCTTAAATTTTAGAAGAAAAAACAGAGATCTGTGGCTGTGATTTATAAGATGGTAACGAGGCAAGTACAGTATAGTTTATCCTTTGATCACTGTCTTTCAGGTATCTACCAGCCTGAAGCTACAAAGCCCTCACTAACAATAGTGGATTCTGCTACACCAAATGCTGGCATCCCTCTGCAGAAGACCTGACCACTATTAAGAGTCCTAGAAATTAACACTCTCTCCTTCCAAACTGCGAGACCTGTTAACATTCTCTTTCTCTGGATTATCCAAGTCTTGGCATTGTGACATATGCATCTTGTTCCCAGATATAATATGATTGGCATCGCTTGCCAGTCACCTGAGGCTTACTGCCACCACCAACAATAGTGAATCTTTTACAGTATATCAAAAGACTTGCTTCTTGCTGCTGAGGATTTTGATGCACTTGGGCATATGACCTGCTGTAGTAAGGAAAGGAATCCTATTTGTCTAGCAGACCTTCTCTTCTTACCGTCTGGTCCTGGAGGCCCCTCAGGCCCCTTCTCTCCTTTTGTCCCATCAATGCACAGCCCAGGAGAACCATGGAACCCAGGCATCCCAGGATTCCCAGGGGGCCCAGGCAGCCCTCTTTCTCCTATACTTCCAAATGGACCTGATGATCCAGCACAACCAGGAGGACCCACTTCCCCTTTCACACCTCAGGAGACAACAAAAGTAAGAGAACTCGAGAACAGTTCAAGGTTAAAAAACATTACTGAGGCCTAAGATTTCGACTACAATTCAAGATTTGTAAAATAGGATAAAATGCTGAAAAACATGTTAGATTACTGCCCTTAAAATCAGCACATACTGTACAGTACTCTTAAAATACTTTATTACTTTTGAGGTTGGGGTTGACCTATCAATCTACACACTGTATGCAATTAAAGTAAAATAGCACAACGAGCTGCTTTATAAATATTTTGACTGGAGAGTTTTGTAAGAATTATAATTGATTGTAATTGATAATAATTTTATGATCAATCTATTAATGAAAACTGCCTGTTTTTCTTTGTTACAGTGGTATAGACAATGGCCAGAAATCCTGGTTTCTTAACCACAGAGGCTGAAATGAATGACCTTCTATTGATCTTTGTGCTCTTTTGCAGTACCTCAGGGAGTTACAACCCACTGGGAAACAGAATATTGTTGACTGATGTGGAAATATAGAGGGAATTCCAATATTGAACTCACCTTTTTGGCCTTTTGAACCTCGGAGGCCTGGCTGGGCTTCTGCAACACCTATCCAGAAAACATGTAAAAGGTTAATTATTGCTTATGGTAATCCAATGATATTTGATTAAGAATTATATTTCTCACCACCAGAAGTTCATCACTTCAAAATCGTTGCTGTTAGTACAATTAATACATTTAAAATTCCGAACCTGCTTCCCCTTTTTTTCCTGGTCGGCCAGGAATTCCATCAATCCCTTGGCTACCCTTGCATCCTGGTGGGCCTGGCTTCCCCGGTGGTCCTTGTTCACCTGTCACATCACAAAATTTAAAGAGCACAGGTCCGATCATGTCCGTGTGATCAGAACATATTCAAGGAATTTGTACTGGAGCATGGTTTTATTACATCTCAGCATTTAAGAGAGACGGGACCTGGTCAGAATTGGGATGGGAGACCTCTAAGGAAAATCAGATTGGAGTAACTGGTGTAGTTCAGTTCAGCTCAGAGAGAACAGTAAACTGATTTTTTCCCTTTGAATAAGAAATTCCAAGATGAAACCCACACATGGTAACAGGTGGTTTCCTTTAGAGCAAATGTTAAACTGAGGTCCTAACTACCTGTGTGCATTAAGGATCCCATGTCAGCAGTATTATAGTCCTGTCATTGACAGTAGAGACTTCCATAATAACAGTAGTCACTGACAGTAGTAAGGGCTTCCAGATGTTCTCCTTTTAAACAAATTCCTTTTAAAATAACAAGAGAAATACAAATGACACTACAATGAAGTTAAAGCTGCATTGTTTTCACTACAATTCCAGTGCTGACTGAAGTGGAAGAGTAACTTAAAAATGTGGATGCTGCACATTAGTGGTGGTGGAGGGGAGTCCCCATTACCTGTAAAGCGCTTTGAGTGGAGTGTCCAGAAAAGTTCTAGATACTGTAAGTGTAAGCAATTAAAATTATTATTATATTTACAGTATATTGGTTCTTTTACATGATGATTGCTAAAAGTGTTTATCCAACAGTATATGCAATGTGTTTATACTGTGAATGTAAGAGGTAAATTTAGTGTAGAAGAACCCACAGACATATACAGTACAACAGCCAAATCAATGTTGCAACATACAGTAATGAGATGACAAATTCATGTGGTTAGTAAATAAATGTTATTTAGTCAATTATATTAATTCATAATTCTGGCTCAAAGCTCAAAAACTGAAGCTGTGAGTGGAACAAGTAATAGGCTTATTCCATGCTGAAAAGAAAGAAAACAAAACGTTTTGGCTGTGGGTGTGTCTTTGGGTGTAGCCGAAACATTGTGTTTTCATTCTTCTCTTTTTAGCATGGAATAAACCAATTACTTGTTCCTTTGCAGCCTACGCATGCTGATGCAGGTACCCACCTGAACTACTGAAGCCTTGAGTGATGTCTTTAGGATTTTAATACAACTAATTTCTTTTTAAATGCCCTTTTTTAAAATCACTTCAGAAATTGAAAGGAAGGGAAAGGCCATTAAAAAGCCATGTTTCATACACTTTACATACAGTATTTCCACTCCCTTTGCATTTACATCGGAGTGATTCACACTGTAAATAATCTCTTAGACTATTAGAGAATACAGCTGTATTTTCCAAATATTTCACAACAGAAATGTGTCAACAAAAAGATCTAAAGGCCATATTCTATACACTAGAAGCCTTTTTTATTTTCTGCACAAAGTTTTGTACCACTACATAAGGAGGATTTATAGAATAATTATTTAATCTATTTTGAGGGACTTTAGAGGCATTCGTAGAACTTTTAGTGAAAAAAATACAATTAGGATCCATCCATTTTCTACTAATTTCTTCCAATACAGGGTCAAGGGGGAGTCATAGGTTATTGAAGTACAGTAAGCGACAGGCACACCACAGGATGTCAGTCCACCATAAGGCACACACAGACAGACACTCACACATTCACACCAGAGCCAATTATCCAACAAGCCAGCTAACCTACCTGTGGGAGGATAGCAGAGCACTTAGAGGAATTTCACACAAACATGGGGAGATCATACAAACTCCATGCAGATAGCACCACAGGTCCAGAATTGAACCCAATGCTAACCACTGCCCCACTGTGCTGCCCGTTTCTAAGTTTCATTGTAAAAATATAAAAATAGTTGAGTACAAAAACAACTATCGTTAACTTTGGTCATGTGTTTAACCAACTATATGGTTGAAAAAGAAGCCTAAAACGTGCTACTGAATTAGAGTGCCTATTAAAGTATTTGATGATGGCTGGTGTGTCAGCAGGATTTCCTGGTCTCTTTAAAACATACTGTATGCACCTGAGGAGCCCTGACATACTAAGCTAGTGCAATTAAACTCGTCATGAACTGATAGTGATTAAGTATCCAGCTGGACCAAATGTCACGCCCTCTGCAGCCAGAGGGCGCTCCTTCTCTGTCCTGTCCCTAGTTTCCGGTCTGCTGTCCTTCCTGTCCCTCTCTTTCCCTTGGGCTATATATTTCCGGGTCTTGCAGTCTGTCCTGGCTCAGCATTGATGGTCGGATGTCCTGAGACCTGCCTAGCACCAGGGCGCCCCACGGCCGCTCCCTGTGGGCATAGGTTTCTATACGGCATTCCTGAACTCTCTGCACTAATGAGCCCGGGCCTTTTTCCCGTCTCGCCGCTACGCATATGGGTCTTTTTCCGCTCTCCTGCTCCCCACGGTTAGTCCCTTTGGACGTCTGTGACACCAAAAACCCCAGGATACACTAACACTCGTGGACCAGGACTAAGATCACCTCCAGTTCATGGGCTAAGTGAACTAGTGCCTCGAAAATGCACAGGAGAAAAGAGATAGTGTAATGGAAATGTATCAGGATGTTGCATTAAACACTGTCACTCTCTGCTTACCTGTAGGGCCTTCTATCCCTGCAGGACCTGGAGGACCAGGACATCCATCTGGTCCTGGTTCCCCAGGCAGGCCTTGAGGTCCTGAAACAGACAATAAAGAGGAGTTTGATAAAAAAGTGCATTCAGTGTAAACGAGAAAGAGCCAAAATACATCAGCAAAATAAAAGTAATTGTACTTAAAGATACAAAAGATCAGGATTTTGTTTATTGTAGACAAGCTGAGCATTTCAATTAATAAGCACCCTTTGTAGCACCAAGCGGGGCAGAGAGGACACTAGAGGAATCCTCTAAGTGCACCTGTGGTGACACTAGTGCTGTCTTCTAATCTGCAAAAGAAGTGGTTCTAACCTATGACACCCACTTTATTCTTCATTAGCAAAACAAGAAGCCCAATGTGAATGAAAGAAGAAAACCTTGATGTCCTGGTAAACCACAGGTTCCTTTTGGTCCTGGCAAACCGTCACGTCCAACGGTTCCCTGGCATCCAGGCTGCCCTTTCTCCCCCTTCTCTCCCTTTATGCCTGGGAGACCATCACTTCCCTGTTCAAACATAGCCCCGAAAGAAACACTGCAAGATTAGGACCTTTAATGAGATTCCCACTGCCTGAGTGTTGAATTTCAGTTAGCAGTAATTACTCCATATAACTTTATACACTGTAGGAAGCAAGATTATTTTCCTTTATCCACTGTTCTTGAGAGCTTACAGTCTCTTCCTCTCATTGGCTTTTAGAAAGTAAATATATTTCTTAGTGCTTTATAGACATGCTTTTTAATATTATTCTAATGAAGATGTATTATTCTTAACTAAAGATAATCACTGCAAACTGAATTTACTACTGTAAATAATATCTCAACAAAGAAGAACCAATGTAGAATTTCTACAGAACTGCAAACTTGGAATGAAAATATTCATCAGACAGCAAAAGGTTTGATCTTTTCTGATGGCCAACAAACAATCCTTACAAACAATCAGAGACTGTAATATAAACATGGATGCCTTTTACATTGCAATGGAAAGAAGTGAAGACAAAAATATGTATTTCCACTGCTGGAAATGGAAATCTGGATCATTACTAGATTCTAAAGAATAGAGCTAAAAAACAATGGTCTACAATACCTTTGGTCCACAGGGGCCTGGAGAGCCAAAACTTGGGAAACTGGGATCTCCTTTCTCTCCTTTTGACCCTTGCAAACCAGGATCCCCTGTTTGTCCCATAATACCGGGATTTCCCTTTTGTCCCTTCTCTCCTTTACATCCTGATGAGGGAAAACCAAGAGGCATAATGACACCAATCCCATCATTGTAGCTTATATCATTACAGTTTAATCTTGTTTGATCTGCCACTACTGTACATATTGATGTCAATGACGTGTTTAAGTACCTAGAAAAAAACTGGAATTGAAATATTGCTGTAATGATTTTTCTTCTTAACTAAAAATAATCACTGCAAACTGTGATTTAACTTCTGTAAATAATATCTCAACAAAGAAGAAACAAGGTAGAAATACTACACAACTGCAAACTTGAAATGAAGATAGTCATCATACAGCAAAAGGTTTGGTCTATTTTGTAACAGACCAACAATTTCTGTGTCAATTTACTCATTTGCCAATATTTATGACAAGGAACATTTGAGTTTTCCATTCTGTTGCTCAAAGACTATGGAGTTTTCAGCTCATATCATATTTTGATAGTCAGTCAGAACTTTATAATATTAAAATTTACTTTACAATAATGAGCTCATACACTTTAATAACTGGTATTCCATTATGAATAAATAAGGACTCAAAAACACATGTTGCTTTGGAAAAGTATTTCAGTACATTAATACTGTTTTGCGGGTTTTGTAATACTTGTTCTTATGGTTTCCTTTTTTACACCTCATAACAATTCTGTTTTTATTTAAAGATAGAAGGGTAACTGGCTGAAAGGCTAGGTGATATCTAAACAACATGTATTATCAACCTGGTAACCCTGGAGGTCCAGGAATTCCTGGTGATCCTGGCATTCCAGGCATTCCTGGAATTCCATGTGAACCTTGATCTCCAGGAGGACCTAAGGATAGAAGCCATATTTTAAATTATTGATACATTTTCTCTGGTTTTAGTTCCTTATTTGTTTTCCTCAAGAATGAACGCCTGGCAGAAACTTTAGTGACACTGTTATTACACTGAACAGTGTGTGTTTCTGAGCATCATTAGATGAGTCAGTGGTAGTCATTATGATTCTCATGATCTGTAAAATAAAGAATTATGTTATTTGTTATTTAATGATTCAGAAGTAATACTAGATAGTTTTTTTTTAAATAAATGCAACAGCAGAAATAAACATGGTTTGTTTTTACAAATGTTTGTCTTGTTTTCTTCTCATATTAACTAAATTAAGATTAGGTGTTAGTTTGTCACATTAGTTGTCTGTAACAAGGTCATCTAGAAGTCACGTTGGGGTAGCTAACTAAGCAAGATTTTTGCCATATAAGGGATTATTGCTTTTCAATGTAAATTGCGTGACATCATCTACCTGTTTAAAAACACATACAGCACTGACTGAAAATGGCTCCTTTAGACATCAAATAAACTTTTTCTTGACAATATTTTCACCTTGACTTATAGTTTGGTTATTTCTGTTCCTCAAAAGAAACCTTTTCCTTTATCCAAGCCTTCAGGGGAATCACTGTATGTAAAGTGATGCAGACAAATAAATGAAAACCCCTTTTAAATGACATTACAAATGGTCAAGTGATATTCACCTGATCATCGCATGACAAAGCATCAGGCATCAGAAGAGACAAGAAATTAGTGCACAAAACCCAAATGATTGTCAATTCAAAGTCTGTCTAAAGGTCTCAGTTATGCTCCCTTCTCTACAGATACAATAGCAAGGAATTAGGAATTCCTTAGAAAATCTGTTTGAATTCATGCTCTGTTTGCAATCTTTTTGAAAGTTTGAATTCATGCTCTAAGGACACTGGTGTATCTGTTGCCACTGTTGCTTCATGGTGCAGTTCTGACATAAACCTACCTTGTCTGCCTCTGGATCCAGGTACTCCATTTTTTCCGCAGGGTCCCCTTGTCCCAGGTAATCCTGGATTACCCTTTTCTCCAGTTAGACCACAAGATCCTATGGGAGGGATTTTTACATAAAGCATAATCATTACTGCAATAATACTCTGGACAATCTGTCATCCATTACAGTAAGTAGGTTTCTCCATCAGTTCATTTTCTAACCGCTTCTTCCAATTCAGGGTTGCAGGGGAACCTAATCCTATCCCAGCAAGCAATGGGCGCAAGGTGTCATGTATGCTGGACTGGACACACTCACACCAAGGTTAACTCTCCTAGAAGCCAAATAAGCTACCAGTATGTCTTTGAACTGCGAGAGGAAACACGGGGAGAATATACTATACAAACACAGATGAAATTCAGATAGCAGCCCAGGTCCAGAATTGAAGCCTATGTCCCAGTGCTGCCAGACAGCAATGCTAATGCCAGCACACCACCCAAAAGCAGGTTTATGATACTGAAAAATGTTCATATCGAAATATCTACTCACCCGGTGTACCCATGTCTCCTTTTGGGCCAGCACTATCAAACACTACTGGAGGTCCTGGGGGCCCGGGGTCACCTTGATCACCCGCATCCCCTTGTTCACCTTGGCATCCTTTTGGTCCATCCTGCCCCTGGTCACCTGAGGAAAATTAAAGCAAGGAGCTGAATACAACATTCAAAATATTAAAAAGCAGAATCTCCATGGAACTGACAACCCTGCGGTTGATGTGCCAATGCTTTAACAATAATTTATGGAATACAAACATTACGTTTCTTTACCAATGCAGCCCGGTTTGCCTGCAAGACCACAAGTTCCATTTGGGCCTACTTGCCCCATGGGGCCCTGGGCTCCGGGTTCTCCCTCTGGACCTAAAAATGAGGGAAAAATTGCAGGAGCAGGTAAGAAATTGCTTTCTGTCAAAGGTGGCTATAAAATGTCAAATATGTTGATGTCATAACAAAGTTGATTTGTAGACGACGTTTGAAGAGCAGGATGAATAATTCAGGAACATATCACCACTAGAAGAACTAAGCCACAATAAAATGAGAACCAACAAGTACTGAATAGAAGCTATCTGTCCTCTGTTAAAATTCCAGGTCTAATTCTGAGTTTTGAGATGGGTGTCATTTCATGCAGTGGATACCAGTAGAGTCAGGTCTGTCAAACAACTTCGTCCTATAGCAGATAAACATGAATTAAAGATTAAATACAATGAAGGAGGAGAATCTTCCTTAAAGGTGGCCAGGCTTATCAAAACAGCAGAAAAGAACTTCTTATGTGTCAATTCTTAATATAGCTCACGTCTAAAAATCCATACTAGTGGACAAGAAAAAAAAAAGGCTTTTACAAGATTGCTAAATTTTTTAGGACGTTTTCTATGTGTATTTTATAAGAGAATATAATATGTTAGATGGCCATGGTTACTTACTATAAAGTTTTGGATTTCAGGGGGGATCTTCTAATTCGATGACATTCTTTGTGTCTTTGTTTGAACTATCCGACATTAGTGTCACACAACATCAGGAGAAGGTACAGTATTAGCATTTCAGGAGATAAAGTGATGATGGCACAAGCATAACTCTTCATATTTTCCTGTACCAATGGCACAGTACCATGGTCTAGCAAGCACTAATACTTTGAAATGGTGCATGGGCAGTACAAGTAAGGTCTAATGAAGGGAGCATTCTTAAAGTCATATACTGTATAAATAATTAAGCAGGGTTGCAAGCTTTTTTACAATTTATTCAACTGAGATAGAAATAAAAAGATACCCACTAGCTACAATGTAGACCTACTTTATGGTTTGTTATATTCTATAATTCATGGGTGCTGAACTATAAAGATTAAGCCTGACGTTCCACCCAAAGAAGAGCATGCACTGTGTCTTCTACTGGCACCCAGTTATTACAGTATGAAGGCACAGATTTTGTGATATGTGATAATATTGTCAAGTGTGTTAAACAAGGCTATCAAACAGCATCATAAAATGGTAGAGGGGAAAGAATATCAGAATAAAAATAAAACTTAAATAAAGCTGCTACAGTATATACAACAAATTAAAGTAGATTATTTCTTGCATTTTCACTCCCTTTTAGACTTTGAGAGAAAATAATGGGAAGGGAGATGACACAATGGGATGCTGTGTGTTGTTTGTTAGGCACTTCCACTGGTACCAGAAGTGCATAAACTCTGGTAAACCTCCTCTGTTTGTGAGAGGATAAGAAGTTGCATTCTGACATGTCTACTTAAACTACAAGAGACAATGGTCTTTGTCCTCATATTCACATGTTAAAGGATATTTGTACTAAGAGAAATGCACCTTGCTGTTCCAGCTTAAATGTTTTAGCTTTAATGTGACTAACAATGTTTCTTGGTGCAGCGATTAAATATTGTGAATTACCTCTCATCCCTGGTAAACCATCCAGACCTTTAAACCCTCTGTGCCCAGGCAGTCCTGGGCAACCTGGAAGCCCTCTGGGCCCTGGAAGTCCATTGAGTCCAGGCAATCCCAGGAGCCCGACTCCTGGCCTGCCTTTCTCCCCTGTAATTCCTGTCTGTCCTTGAGCACCTGGAATAGCAACAGTAACATGTCACAAATGGCCCGAAAGTAGCTTGATATAAAAACAGTCAGTGAAATTCTGAAGGGGTGCTGCCACATGTCAGAAGCAAATGAGTGCCGTTTACATACCTGGGAAGCCAGGGGCCCCATCTGGCCCAGGAGAGCCTGGATTGCCTGGAGATCCAGCACGACATACCCCCATGGGCCCCTCTTCACCAGGTCTTCCTCCACAACCTTTGTTCCCTAAAAAGGAGAGACATCATAATGTGTAGTGTATAGTGTATGTGTGAATATATTTTTATTATTCATTCAAATAACATATTTCTAAGATGCCTTGAGTATAACACATAGAGTAAGCAGCCAGATAGCAGGAACAAGTGTTCTTGAGTATCAAGACATTAGTCATAGAACCAAGGTCAGAGAAGAAGGAGCATTACTGAATATGTACCTCATCCTCTTATCTACCTGAGAAACATAACATTACTTATACTATTATACTTATTACTTATATGTAAGACTCAGATGATTTGTATTCTGCAGTAGTCTCCTGCTCTTGCTCCAACACCTTGTAAAAGTTTTAGGTTTGAAGACAATTCAACTGGGTAATACTCTTTCAAATTCAAGCCAGGAAGGTGAAAGCTAATTGTGCTCACCATGCAGTTGAGCTGCAGTTCATCAATCCCAACATACTTTTTTTGTTTTTTATGCCTCTCAGGAGGTTCACACACCACTGAAGAGCCTTCAGCATCATATCTTGTTCTTAAGGACCAATGTAGACCATTTGCAAGCGTCACAGAAAGATCTACCTTTCTCTCCTAGAGAGCCGGCCTGCCCTGGGTATCCACGCGATCCAGGTTCTCCAGGCAGTCCAGCATCACCCGCAGGACCTGGAGGCCCACTGTCCCCTGGATGTCCTGGTCTGCCTTCTCGCCCTGGAGGACCATAGGCGGGATCACCCTATACATGCACAGTATAAATAAAAACCCTAATGTCACCTCGTTTAGTTACTTTTTGGATGCCAGCAGCTGAGGGACCTCAATCCTACAGTAGGTACTGTATCCAACAGTGAAAACAGACAAAACATTTAAGTGTTTGTAATTGAAGGGGAACTCCAGTCCCAATTTCTCCAGACACACATAGACACTCACAGCAGAGCCAATTTTCCCAGAAGCCACTGCTATGTCTTTAGACTGTGAGAGGAAACTAAAAGGGGCAGAAATACTAACCCCTGCACCACTGTGCTGCCTTCATTAGTTCAATTCTAAAGTGTAAATGCCTGTGCAATAAATTCTCAGACATTAAAAACACAAGAAATGAGTAATGGAACCAACAGTACTTGATGGTTACTCTGTGTTAGTATATGGAGGAAGACTTATATCTGCAGGTGCCTCTGTCTTTACGGTCCAGCTTGCATCACTGAGAAGGACAATCCTATTGGTTTTGTCTGACCTTTGGCCCTGGTGTGCCGGGGATTCCTGGAGTTCCTTGTCTTCCTGGAGGACCTGTTGTTGGAGAGCCTTTGCGTCCATGCTGTCCTTTCAATCCTAGTAAAATCAGACCAGTTTTTGATTTACATACAGTACAGTATTACAAACCTGTGCAGAATCGGTTTCTGCTACAACACCACAGGGTGTGGCCTTTGTAATAGTTGTTACTTGAGTAAAAAAAGGTCTCTTTACTGACTGGTCACATTCACTGTGAAAAAATGCAGGAGCAAGAAAAGATTAGTGCTTTAGGCATCGAGTTCCCTTTCTGATGAGGAGCAGCAAGAATCTCAAAAGACTGACTACTATTTGACTTGAACTTTATAAGATTGTAGAAAAAGCAGCTCCCTTTTAATGTATTAATTTGAATACAGTATTTTCATTCTTACCTTTAATACCCTGAAGGCCAGAAGGTCCCACTGATGCTTCACCTTTTTTGCCTTTAGGGCCAGATTTACCAGGTTCACCTTTAAGACCCATTGATCCAGGATCTCCTATAATTTCAAATACCAAATGCATTTAATAAGTACCCACGGGCATACATTTGTCTATGTTTAATTTTACCTGTATACAATTTAATCCTAATAATATAAACTGAGGGTAAATTTTCTCTTTGCATTTCCTGATATGATACAGTATGCATTAAATAATGCTTAAAGAGAAACATAATTCAGTCTTGATAAAGTGTTCTTACAGAGCATACTTTCTTGTTTTCACTCTGAACATTCTTTTTATTTCATTACAATGATAGGATTAAAATTTAGAGTACTTGCTAAAATAAGCAGATGGATACATACTGTATAGTCACAGTGGACCAACGTATCTGGGGAGCATCAGATTAGTTACTGTGTCTCAAGATTTATTCATAACTCCATTGAAACATACGTTTCATTGGAATATAAAACATTGTATGGCAGAATGAGTTATGGATAGGATAATTTGTTTTGCTTCAAAAGGTCTAATAAGGTTATACTGTAATCATAATAGTCTTACACAGATCTATGTCATTTATAGTCAATTATTGAATTCTAGAAAACAAAAGGGTCACATTTCACTTAGTATTCCATTAAATAAGGTCAGAGAGCCAGTTCAAGCTTGACTATAATGGACATTCTAGCATGACAGCAATACAAAGCACACTTCCAAATCAACAAAGGAATGGTTAACTGCACACAAAATAAACATTCTTTATGGGCCATCTCATTCTTTAAACCTCAACTTAATTGATTTTAGAATTTAACTACAAAATATTATCCATATACTGTATAAATCTTTCTGTTATATATTTGTTACTTCTGTTATGTTAGGATATTAATACATTTGGAAGGCACTGTAAAAAATTGACAGCTTGTTTAGTAACATTGTAATTGAGCTTAGAACTTCCAGGTTTCTGTACAGTTCCACTTATCTAAATAAAAATAAGCTTAACAATAGTACTTGCATTGTTCACATCGTAAAGGTCAATATTGTTTAAAATTCATAAATGAATGCTGCACATTGATTTGTGATGTCCATACAATAAATTGATTATAGTGAATAGTTAAAAAAATATTCAAAAACTAAACACAACCTTTCAAAATATTTCCCCAACAGAAAATAAATCTAAAGGATATTACAACACACCCATTTATGGATGTCTAAGTCAGTTCTCTTCTCCTAAAGTACATTTGACCAAATTCACTTTCATGACTCCTGGGTGTTGATATAGAAGGATTCAATAATTACTGATACAGTACCATTTTTAGTAGTACTTACAAAATATTTGTTAATTCCCTCCATGTCTCTTTCATGCCTTACAATCTCTAGGTAGAATGTATGGCTATTTTTAAACCTTGACTTTAAGGCATCATGTCCTTTGCCTGTACGAAGCTAAGTACACTGATGAACCCTTGAAAAGCTCCAGTGCCAGAACAGATCCACAGGCTGTTTTGTATGATTTCAAGGCCTCAGGCTCAAGAAAGCGGAATTCTACAATGACTTACCACGCGGACCTGGGAACCCGCTTTCTCCACGAACACCCCTTTCCCCAGGTTCCCCCGGGTTCAATCCAGCACCTGCTGGATCCCCTTTCTCTCCTGGGAATAAAATATATTACCAGACATTCAAGGTGTGTAACAATGCACAGTGTAGCTTCATATTCTGTGGACTCTGATCCTGAATCTGATCTATAGATATAACAGGATGAAATCTCAGTGGCCAAAACATAAAAACACCCAGCCCTTAACCTTCAGAAGCTGCAGGAGCACCTTAAGTAGGATGTGATACACATTTCACACGGTTTTGAAATGCACATTTACAGGTTACGTTCTTATAGTATAATAACTTCCAATAGAGGCTCTGATGAGGATATTGGTGTGAGGGAGTGAACTGCACATCCCAACAGTTTTAAGTAGGATTGAAATCTGGGATTTTGTTTTCCCGGCAAAGGAAGGTGATGGATTCCTGCCTCATGCTTTACAAGCCAACCATGCATTGCCTGTCTTGGAGTCCGTCAAATAAACAGGGGAGCTACAGGTTTGGTCAGTGTGCAGCATCGCCATTCAACACATTCAACATTTTTTAATGACACTATTCTGGATCAAACCTTTATCTTTCCAATCACTGATGATCAGAAGTGTCTAAATGCCCCTTGCATTCCTCAGTGAGGACCAGCCACATTCAGTTACCTACCTGGATCTCCAGGACTCCCTATCGGACCGGGCTCTCCAAGGTTGCCTTTGGGTCCCACTGCTCCTGGTAGTCCAATGGCCATTTCGCCACTCTCCCCTGGCCGTCCAGGGGAACCCCGGAGCCCACTGATTCCAGGGGGACCATGTTCTCCTTTCGGGCCATAAGGCCCCTGCAAACAACAAAGAGGTAAAGAAGCTAAATAATGATGAAAAATACATTAAACACAGTCTGATGTGTGAACTTATGAAGTATTGATAAATGTCTTTCAGCTTCTGGAAAAAAAAAACAAACAAATTTCCAAATATTACATAAAAACCATCACTCATGCTGTGTAACATAACACTAACCTGCCCAGGGACAGCTGTGTCAATCCAATAACAGGTCTTTTAACAGGATTCTCTCTAAACCCACTCTTTCAGGAGCTAGCTTTTAAAACCATTCCAGGAAAATACATTTGTCTGTCCTCTTCTGTGAGTAAAATCCTAGACCAGAAATGGTCGCTACAGTAATCCACACTGGGAATGAAGGAGAATGCGACAGTGGAAGAACTGACCGGATCTCCTATCGGACCCGGGTCACCAGGGAGTCCAGGGTATCCGGATCTTCCCTGGATTCCTTCCTCTCCAGGGTCACCAGGAATCCCACAGTCTCCCGTATCCCCTCTTTCGCAGGTCTCTTCAGAGTGGCCCTGGTCTCCCTTAGGTCCTTGCAGTCCCTTTTCTCCTGTTGGTCCTACAGGACCCTGGAAAAGGGACAGAATGAGTCACAGCAGCAGATAGGCAGTGGCATGAGCAATAGTTACACCTGTGAGGTTGTAGGTCAAATCCTGGATGTGACCCTACCCTTATACCCCAATGCAAGGTATGCAGAACAAAATTTGTTTAAAAAATCACAAAACAGTGCATCTTTTCATCATTCTTTAGTTAACTTCAAATAGGTAGCTGGGTCATCATGTGTACGCTTCAGGAAAAGGTAAAGGTTTGTTCCATGATGAAAGAACAAAAAAGGAGGGACTTCTTCGGGTGTCATGTGGAGAAGCTCACCTGAAGAAGGTTCCACAGCCGTAACATTGTGTCTCGTTTCTTTTCCTTTCAGCATGGCATAAACCTGTACCTGATCATTCTTACATCTGAGAAAAACATACAGTATTCACACTGCTGGCCTACTATAGCCACAGGGTTTACAGATCAAAATAGCTTAATTTGGCTAGACAACAGAAATTTGAAAGAACAGGTCAGATCCAAACATGTCTTTTTTAACACTGTCATGCACCAGTTTAAAAGAATCAATTAAATTAATAGATAGAGAGATCCTGGAGTGTTCAAATAACGTTTTTACTTCTGGGTAAACTTGATCAATAGTGAAAGGGTAAGGGTTCAAAACATCTAGCTTTAAAGCTTTGTATTGTATATAAACAATACAATATAACAATACAATTTTAAGCATAAAAACCTGAACTTTAATTCAGCGATCCTTATCTATTCTGTGACTGATCATTTATAAAGTATAAACACCAAAGTCACACTGACAAGTACAGTATACCACATAGCAATGCACTTTGAAACAGCTACTGTACGTTACCTGCAGACCTATGATAAGACATAATTAAAAAAGAGAAAAATTCGGAATAACTTCTACATAGAAAATTTCTTACGAAGGGCTCAGCCTGTAAAGGCAGTCACAATAAATGAAGAATTATTGCTACTTGTAATATTTTAGAAGCCTGTTTATTACAAGGTTTTAAAATTTCTAATTTCCTTGTAAATCCCACGTGAAGCCATTGTGCTCTAAATGCTTTTAAACTTATTTTAGTACATTTAATTTAACAATTAGTACAGTTAGTAACTTTACCTGGGGTCCTTGAGGACCTGCTGTTCCTGGTAAACCCTTTGAGCCTTTAGGCCCTGGCTTGCCTTGTTTTCCTGGTATAAGAGGACAGCTCAGTTATGGCCTTTAATCATCTATAATCATTATAGAAATGCCATTTATAGCAGGTATACAAGGTAAGGTATAGTATATTTGTTGTCTTAAGCAACAGTGCTGGACAGCTACTGGACCACCAATATCATTTACAGCAGCTAGTTGGCTTTCTTAGGAAATCTCCATTTATAGTATTGAACAGGCCCAGCCCTGGTTTGCTTCTGAGACTTGACAACTCAGGGTTGAATCTTTAAAGATGTGGGTAATAATCATCAAGGAAGTTAGAGTATGTAGTTTACAAAGGTTATCAGATTTGGTCCATTTTAATGATGAGATTTTAATTGAAAAGTCCTTAAATTGTAACATTTATTGAACTGCTAATGGCTTTGACTAGAGTTCTCACTCGAAGTGTGGCAAAATGTTTTATTATTCAACAAGTGTCTTGCTTCTTTTGCATTAAAATTGTGTTCCCTCAATTACCTTTTGAGATTACCTTTACCTAATCTTTTGAGTTTGTGGCCTGAGCTTTTATAGTACAGTACATCAGATTGTATTTATGTAGGGTCCTTGTACAGTACATAACAAATTTGTATTCACATTTTGATTAGAATATGATCACATTTGAGCCTGAATATTCAAATTACAGTATAATCATAGATTTTAAAATCAGCCCTTCACCTTGAGGTCCAGGAAGTCCCCTTAGACCTGGAATACCTGGGCTGGGTGAGATATCACAAAACATGCATGTGTTTCCCTTTTCACCTGGGGAAAAAAAATCAACAGTGATACAATTTCAGAAAACTGAAATCCACGAATATTTTTCTAAGACTATCAGGCATTTGACACAACATATTCTCATTTGGTTTGGTGTTGTTACAGATTAAATATCCATCCATTTTCTAACCACTTGTTCCAATTTTCACTCGAGGCAGAATACACCCTGGACTGGACACAAGTCCATCGCTGGGCACAAACACAGACACAGCAGGGGCAACCTTCCCAGAAGCCAATCAACATACCACTATGTCTTTGAACAGTGGGAGAAAAACCTTGCAAACATGGGGAGAAGATACAAACTCCACACAGACAGCACCCCTCAATTGGTCTCGAATTGTTCCCAATTGATCCCATCCCCATTTGATGCTGTGAGGCAGTAAAGATAACCACTTTCCTGCCCACAAATTAAATGCCAATTATCCTTATTCTCTGTAAACCATATCATATGTGCCCCTACTTCTCTGTGTAGTAGGTAATTTACTATTAAAGCAAACCAAACCTGGGAGACCAGGTTCCCCTTCTGCTCCAGGATCTCCAACGATTCCGGGATTTCCTGGATGTCCTGTCTGACCTCGTGGCACCTGAAGTCCATCTGAACCCTGCCTAGCACTGACTGAAAGAGGAAGAATATCTTAAAACAGGACCCGGATTTAAGGAGAAATAAAAGGACATCTATCGTCGGAGCCAGTGTACAGTAGATGAATCATCCTTACCTATGGCTGCTCCTTGAAAATCAGGGAAACTTTCAGTCAAAACAGTAAGAAGAGTTTTAGTAAGTGTTATTGATGTTGAATTTTAATTAAGCTGGGTTTTGTGCTAAGTTGGAAAACCCTGAAGGTATTTCTGAGCCTTGTATCGGTTAAAGCCACGTGTGCAACATGTATCCAAGATGTCTTTTTTACATTCTGTTTTGTCAATGTATGCTGTGAAGAAACTGCTTTCGGTCCATCTGAATTCAACTACTGCAATCCCCCTACTTGCACATTGGGCACAAAATACCTTATAAAATCCCCAAATAAAAAACACTTGCTTGAGTACTGACTAGGTCTCGTTCTACCAACCAAACAAACTCTGTTTTCAAATCCTTGTACTGGCTTGTTGAATTTACATATAGATTTCAAAATATCGCTCTTAATGAAAGGAAAGCTCTTTATCCTATGCTTCTGATATCCTGACATAACTCTAGCTCCACTTTCTGGTACTCTAGTGATGCTCTCCTGCTGGTCCCATTCGCAGGCCTGTAAACTGTACTGTAGCCTTCTGCGTTCCAAGGCTGTGGACCACCCTTCCCTAACAGATTGACCTGTTTTTAATCTCCCCTTAAAACATAATTGGTTCGTCTTGCATTTCTATAGGTTTTATTATGTTAACTGTTTATCGCATGTTGCATTTTTCTGATTTTTCCATGAGGTACAGTCCTACTGGTTACCCCCATAGGTTAGATTTAAACAGAACTCTTAACTGAAACCAGCTGCATTGGATTCTTAAAACCTTATGCAAATGTCTGCACCTATTCTCTCTCCTAGGTTCAGATATCGCCCTCTAGTGGATGAAACCAACACAGACATTTCTGTAACAGCTTCCCTTTTACAGAACTTTACTAAAAATATTATCACTGCCACCACTATTTACTGGGTTGCAGATCAAACCTCTGCCAATTTAAGGTCACATCTATAACTTTACAGTCCTAAGTAATCATATGACATACCGCTTGCTGGACCATTTCCTCTACTTTGGACTGATCATTCCTATGATTGATTTATAATTATCTTGCTGTGTTTAAAATGAGTGTAGGTGAGCAATTACCTAGACACTTGTGATGATACGGTGGAGGTCCTGGGTCACCTGGAGGGCCTTCAGGTCCTTGGGGCCCATCAGGACCAGGAGGACCCAAGACCGGGGACCCTGCATCACCCTTGTCTCCTTTGGCACCTTTCAAGCCATGGGGTCCAGGTGGCCCTTGTAGACCTGGTTCTGAGGGCCCTGAAACAGCAGAAAAGTGTCAGTCTGTCGATCTGTTTATAACAGCTAAGCTTTTGTGAAGGAAATGTGTGACATTTCAGTCAATGACAGCGTTTACCTTGTGGTCCCGGGGGCCCAGGAAACCCTACATGTCCTGCAAAACAAAATATAATGTTTTTTTTTCATGTTGTATTTACATTAGATCTTTGCTTTTTTTGCTAAAAATAAGAAAAATATAGGGCTAAAATATAAGATCACAAATATAAGTCACAATGATAAGACAAAAGTTATTTCAGAAATCTCCAGAGCGAAACTAATTAACAGGGAGCATGATGGAATATCACTGCCACCGTACCGCCCAGCTCTGGAGTCCTGGGTTAGATGCCTTTGGAGTGGAATTTGCAGATGTCTGTGTAAGTCTCTATGTCAAAAGCTTTTTTGCAAAACCTTCCCTGCTGCTTTAATTTGCTACTGGTCTTTTTGTTTAAGTCATTGTTCCGTGTGTAAATCCATGCCCTTTTGGTACTTTTAATCTTGAGCTTTTACAGTAGATCTTTACCTCTAGAGCCAGGATCCCCTTTCAGACCGGGACGGCCTGGATCACCACGGTCACCTTGCTCAGGGAAGCCATTTTGGATGAACTTTTCCGTGAAAAGCAGAATCAGGTATATGGTTAAGAACTTCTTGCTTGCACATAAGGAGGACAGTGCCTTCATACGCCTAAATTCAGTGCCTAAATAGTTGGTTGATAGATTATATCATCTCCCCTGATCACTCTGATCAGTTTAGATTATTCAAAGTCTGTGGAAAAATTAAGTTTTTTGCTGTTGGAACTAACTAGTACCAATTCAATCTAGTCCCGAAGGACCAAATACAAGATGATCCTCAGTTAGTGCACTTCTTTTTGTTTGTTGGCATGTAACTATTATAATGTATTTGCAAGGAAGAGAGGGCAGTGTTTACTATCACATTACAACATCATTGTTCCAATTCATTTCATTGCAATACAAACGCACAATTACTAATTATGAATTAAGTGTTGCGGCAATAAAAAAATTAAGGACTGATTTTACACAAACTTAATTGAACAACCCTTGACATAAAACATAATGTTGCAATATCATATAAATCTGGCACTGTATTTATTTATTTGTCTGTGCTTATGTCACTGAGAAGGCAAATCTGAAAGTTAAAATGTCTAGGTTTAAAATGTTCAGAAATGCAGTGCCAGTCCTTTCCCCTATTCCCCGAGCATAAATGAAATGATGACAGTTCTATAAAAAAATACAGTATAATACATGAGAGAAAGATGTTGTAGCACAGTATGGTACAACCAGAGGTTACTACAAATAACATAACAGCCAACAGACCTTTACTCTTTAACCCTTCAGTGCATCGAACAAACATTTACGACAGCATCTTTCAGTGTGTAAGAAAAATATAGCATGTTTTATACTGTATATATTGTGTTTTCAGGAGACCTCTGCTAGATAAAATATTTTATCCATACAGATGTGTTATAAGCTTCACAAACAGACCTTCAAATAAGAATGCAGCTAAAATACAACCAGAAAGACAATACACACACCTTCAAAGACATAATGGATATTTAATACAAATTAATACTATATGACTACTGTATGTTAGCTACAGTTGGACAGCACTTACTGTACATTCATTTTCTCCCTTTTTATACAGATGCTTGAAGTGCTGAATATATGCTGTATTTTTACACGGATGTTATGAAAAAGCCTACTCACTTTACCAGGCAGACCAGGAGGGCCATAATCACCTTTTTCACCCTAAAAGGAATTCATGTTGGATTATAAAACCAAGTACAATTCAGGGATTGAGTGAATAAAGCAATGACAATAAAAAAAAAAATCAATAGAAAAATTTACTTTTTGGCCAGGATCCCCAGGAGGTCCTTCAAAACCCAGATCACCTTTTAACCCCTAGAAAAGACAAGACATGATACTACTAAACACAATTCATTAGCTCTAATATAATTAGCTTTGATTTATTGGCTTTCAAGGAGCTTAATGGCCTTATCTGGCCAGAAGACATGCAATGTACCCACCTCTAGTAGGCAACAGTGTTGTACAGTAGCTATAGTAGATCAGAAAATGCCTTTTATGTTCTATACAACAAACCGAACAGTTCACAGCTGCTAGGCAAGAATCACAAGTAGGCAAACAAGCTATATGCCATACAGCCCCACACACACTTTCCAGACACACGTAAGGATGTGATAAGCATAATTAAGTGGTTGATTATAATGACGTTAAAAAGAGACAGGAGCGTGTCAGATCCAGGAGTTATACCTATCAATTCTATTTTTCTTCTATTTTTTTTTAGCAATTTAGAAATTTTTTAGAAAGGCTGAAACTGTTATGGACAAATCAAAAACATACAGTCAGAGAGGAAAGAAAATAGGTGACATTTTCCATTGCTTTAGTTCCAGTTGGAACAACGACTGTAAGCATTATGCCTTTTATTATCACGATTGTGGGGGATGTTGGTTGTATTATTATAAAACGACTGAGTGCCACCTGCCAGTCAGTTTCCAGATGTGGCAGGTGAATCTGATGATATTAGAAACAGACCAGTGAGAAAAGGTTTCCTCAATGCCACTTAGCCAAGAACAAAGCCCTGGCCATGGCACAGAGAGGAGTGCACAGGAAACTTAAACAAATACTGCAATGCTATTTTTCATTAAAAAAACGTGAAGGATATATGGTTACCATTTGGCCTGGGATACCAATGTCTCCCTCTTTTCCAAGCTTCCCCTGAAAAGAAAATATCCATCAACAAAAATCTCTCTATACCGTGGATCTACAGTATAACATGATTAAAGAAAACTCTGCAACAGTTTCATTACAGTTCAGAGCAGAGCTTGACTAACAAATCAATGATTAATATCTATACATGTCTGTGGTTTTATTTATTAGGGACTATTGAGCTCCTAGTGATCCTACAGATCAGAAGAGGCAATAATGCAACAACATTATAATTTTATAAAAAACAGGTAAGTTCATGCATCATGACTGTGATGCAAAGTCAAAAACATATGTTCTCTTTTCTTGGGATATTTTAAAATATTTATGTTTAAGACATGACTGACTAAAACATGAGTCTGTTCTGACAACAAAACCATGAGCCACACACTGAGTATGGTGTAAACAGGGACAGAGCTGCTCATTGGGAGTGAGACTATGCTGAGCTGGGTACTATCAATTGTACCTCAGATCCAGGATTTCCTCGGTCTCCCTTCTCACCCCTGGGACCCACACACCCACGATCTCCCTGTAAAAAGAAAGAAATCGAAAGTGCTTATGGACAAATTAGAAAACATGAAATAATATGTTGATACTATTTTAGAAAGTATTAGTTGATATCATTATAAGAACACCATTTATTCAGAAAATCCATGCAATGATATAATCAATGAGTAGCAGCTCGAATGTGATATGTGCTTACAGGGGAACCTTGACATCCAGGATCGCCTCTGTCACCCGGCTCCCCCTGAGTAGGAAATCCAGAGGAATGATTGGACACCAACAACACCAATAAGAACAAGAATAAATAGCATCCTATAATAATGACAACTTGAGGTACAAAATGAAAGGTTAACATTACAGAAAGTAGGACACATTGCCTAAGCAAGTGCGAGACTCAATTCAATTCAACTTTATTGTCATTAAACTTACACAGGTGCATAGTATAATGAAAAGTGTTTCTCATTAGTCACTCAGGTGCAGTATATAAATAGGACAGAAGATAAGACAATAGACAGTAACACAATAGAAATAACAGTAACATGTAATAACATAACATAAATAACATGTAATCAAGTAATCAAAACTGTGCAAAATTCCACAAACAGAGAAAATATAACAGGACAAAAACAGTGCAAGGTAATTCTTGGAACAGTGCAAAAATAGTATGGTTAATTAATATTAAATATTATTATGACCGGTACAGTTTTACTGGGCTATCGAGGGGACAGTACAATTTCAGCTTACATGTGTGTGTAGTGGTGTACAGTAGGAGTACAGTCATTGTGGATACAGGAAGACATTTGGAGAGATCATATTATGGTGGGAGGGAGTGGGGGCATCACCAACTTGAGTGCTCTGGGGAAGAAGCTATTTTGGAGTCTAGTTGTGTGCGACTGGAGTGACCATCTGCCAGATGGTAGGGGAATAAACAAGTTATGACTGGGGTGAGTGGGGTCAGACATAATTTTGGTGGCTTTTTTCAGACTCCTGGTGTTGTATATTTCCTGGATGGATGGTAAGGCACTGCCGATGATGTGTTGGGCAGTTTTGACCACCCGCTGTAGTGCCTTATGGTCAGATGCGGTGCAGCTGCCGTACCAGACTGTGATGCAGCTGGTCAGTATGCTCTCCACCGTACATCTGTAGAAGTTGGTGAGGGTCAGGGGATGTAGGTGTATTTTCTTCAGCCTTCTCAGGAAGTACAGCCGCTGTTGTGCCTTCTTGATGAGACTGGAGGTGTTCAGTGTCCATGTAAGGTCCTTAGAGATGTGAACGCCTAGGAATTTGAAGTTATTCACCATCTCCACCGCAGACCCATCTATGTAGATGGGGGAGTGAACTTTTCCTTGTCTTCTGAAGTCAACAATCAGCTCTTTGGTTTTGCTGATGTTGAGACATAGGTTGTTGGTTCGGCACCAGTCTGCGAGTTGTTTTATCTCCTCCCTGTAGGCAGTCTCATCATTGTCAGTGATCAGGCCCATGACTGTGGTATCGTCAGCATACTTGATGATGGTGTTTGTGCTGAACTTGGCAGTACAGTCGTGGGTGAACAGGGAGTAAAGCAATGGGCTGAGCACACAGCCTTGAGGGGCACCGGTGTTAAGGGTGAGTGTGTTGGAGGTGAGGTTGCCAATCCTGACAGTCTGGGGTCTGCTGGTGAGGACGTCTAGGATCCAGCTGCAGAGGGTTGTATCTAAACCTAGAGTCCTGAGTTTGGTAGAAAGTGGTAGAGACTCAATCACAGATCATCATCATCACTTTCTAACCACTTACTCCTGGTGAGGGTTGCAGCGGTAACAGGCTGAGCAGAGAAGACCAGACTTCCCTTTCCCCAGCATCAGTCTCCAGCTCCTCCTGAGGGACTCCCAGACGTCCCCAGGCAATCTGAGATATAATCTCTCCAGTGTGTCCTGGGTCTGCCCTGGGGTCTATTCCCACTAACAGATGCTTCCATTAACTCCATGTGATTCTAAAGTGTATTGGGCAATTTTCCACTAAGAGGGCTGCAGTGTCTGAGGGAAGCTCCGTTCAGGTATTGCAATGCCTGTGATCTAATCATACACAGTCAGAAGAAGTCCAATCGTCTTTTTATGTTTCTTTTGAAGAACTAATTCTGAGTACCAGCGGCCAAAAAGGCAAACTTTTGTCAGCAACAGAACCTTTAGAAGATTTGTCTGCTAAAGATTCAGTGGTTGAACTGCATTTAGCAATGTATTTTGCACTCAGTCCTGCTGTATGGCTATCCTCCAAAGCCCAGTATCTTCCAGAGCACAGGCAATCCTACATTGTAACATGACTGTTGAAGGTAAAATTCAACAATCAGTTTGAGCGCAGACACAGAAATCTGTTCTGTGATAGCTACTGATGTATATAGTAAGTGAAAGAATTAAATAATGCAGTTATACCTCTATGTTCTATACTCAGAACATACAGTATACAGTGCTCAAATTAGATTAGACAAACAAATGTGTTAGACTAATCACTTAAAATGATGCAAATTAGATGTAACTGGAAGTACCTACTGTACATAACTGTTATTTAGTTATGATTCCAGACTGCACCATCGTGTCACCCATACTCTATAGTGTCAAAAAAACACAAAAGTCTACAAATCCTCCTAAAATAATTACAAATAGAAAACAGATAATAATTGACTGGATAGGTTTTCACCACCCTTGAGTCAATATTTAGTAGAGGAACCTTTGGCAGAAATTACAGCCATGAGCCTTCTTGTATAATTCTCTACCAGATTTGATGTGAGATTTGTGAGGCACTCAGGCAATTGTTGTTACATGCACAGTTTCTCCCACCTCAGCCATGACAGACTATAATTCCATCAGAGTTGCTATAGGTCTCTTTGTAGCCTCAATGAGTAGTGCTCTTCTAGGCTAGATACTGTAGGTAGGTAGGTCCCTTTTCAGGCCATAAAGGCCTATGGGGAATGGGGGACAAGGGCCACCATTTTTCTTGACCATCTAACACTGGAGGTGGAGGTGATATTGTCAGCATCATCTAGGCTAGATACTCAATGTTATTCAGCCCTGCTCTGCACAGATTCACAGTTGTGCCATATTTTCTCAATTTCTTTATAATAGATTATAAATAAGGCTTTGGGGGATATACAATGCCTTGGAATTTTTTTAAAACAATTCCTCTGATTGGTATTTCTGAATTACCCTGTCCTGGATTTGCTTTGAATATTCCTTTGTTTTCATGAGGTAAAGTTTTTGGGAGTTGTACTAATCAACTGTGGGACCTCCCAGAGATATATCCATCTTGAACTCATGTCAAACACGCTAATTGCACACAGATGGACCTCAGGCAATTAATTAAAATAAACAATTGTTTATTTTAATTAACACAGCCCATTTAAGTGTTTCATATCAAAGGGGGTGAATTGTTATGTTCTGTTTTACTTTCTATTTATAATTATTCGCCAAGACTTAACTTGTCCTTTGATGCGTGATTTTTAAGTGTATGTGGAAAGTAATTGTAAGTGATTCAGTGAAAAATCAAAGAGAGCAGAGAAAAACTTTTAACCTTTAGGTTTTTAGGTCTTTCTGCAGGTAACAATATTCCTGTTTCTCCAGGAAGTCCAGGCAGACCACGAAGACCCTAGAAAAACACACAAGCAGGTAAGGGGATTTTCAAGAGGTTCTCGAATTGGTGCATAAACTAACACTGACAAAGAATCTAGTCATCTACTTTATGCCAGTAGGTGGCACTGCAATTTAACAGAAATGCTAACAGCAGCAGCAGATATATTGAACTGTATATTAAGGTATGTTCCAAACACAAAAGAACATGAGAATGTCTGTAAATTAAACAACACTATTGGGTCTATTTAATACAATACATTAGTTTATTAGTAGATAAATGATAAGAGTACTTCATTAAGCTGTTTCTTAAAAGATGTTGTGATATTGGCTGGCAGCTTCTTCCAGATCAGAGCTTTGTAACGCAGGGATTAGAAGATGTGTGTGCCGGTTTCAATTAGAAGTGGCTGAACACCATTGCAGGGAAAGTGTTATTGCTCTCATTTGCCAACTTCTGTACAATTTACCTTCTGTCCTTTAGTCCCTTGTGTATTCACTCCTTGAACTCCCTGTTGGGGGAAAGTAGCAGCATTAATGAATGCTATAAAAAATTACATGTTGTATAGAATACAGAAATACCCTGACAAATAAAAATCCTTAATTTATATAGTGCTTTTCATGCAATTTCTAAATTATAAAAAATATCAAATTTGGAAAACACAGAACAAAAATAGGTTGTACAAACAAGTAACAACACAAATCATGCACCCTTTTTTCCACTTCATTCAATTCAATTTAGGGTTGCAGGGGAGGTGGTATCTTGGCAGGATACATCTTGGACAGGACACCACCAGTCCATATCAGGGCAGACAGACACACACACTCAGACCAGGGCCAATTTTCACACCAGGAAACCAGAGCAACAGGAGGAAACCCACATGAAAATGGGGAGAACATACAAACTCCACACAGATAACACTCCAATGATTGAACCCAGGGACCCTGCACTGTGAGACAGCACTGCTAGCCACTGCATCAGTTACAGCAGTAAATATTCAGCTTATCTGCTAAAGACAGGGAAAGGCACAAATGAATGCAACCAATGCAGCAGACTGAAGATGAAAAAGACAGCTTAGTAACAGAATGAATCTCGGCTTCAGAAGCCAAATTGGAACAAAAAATAGCCCAATAAATATTAATTCAATACATTACCTTTGGACCTTCCAAACCTGGAGCTCCACATAATCCCTGGATGTTTACAAAAATAAATTATCACTTGGTTTTTTTATCATTCCATCTTGTTTTAATTCAACATCTTGGTATTTCCTAATCAATGAGTTTAATTACCAGAAAGCCTGCTGGCCCGGGTGGACCAGGAAACCCCAGAAGTCCTGGTGGCCCTGGACACCCCTGAAACACAGGACCCGGTCTGTCAAATTCAGACACCAAAAGGCTATGAATAGCACTGTGACTCTGGTTCATTAGGGCTGCCTATTTTCAGTGTTGATTTCAGTCAAGGTTACCTGCACACGTGTGATAGGTGCTGCACTCTTAGACTGCATCCACTTCTTATTCAAGCCACAGCAATATAAAATGAGAACATTGTCACAGACAGTACATATGCGTGACCACACTTACATCACCTCCTTTGGGCCCTGGTGGTCCTGGCTGACCCGGCTGACATTGGCAGGGATATTGACACTGAAAAATGAAACAAGAATACACATCTTACATGCTCGCTACCAGAAAATTGAACCAAATCCTTAAAATCATTTGATTCCTTGATTCTTGTTGATTTCTTTTACAAGTTGAACTAAAAAAGAAAAACTGAGGTGTTTAAAAAACACTCATGGAATCTGATACAATATTTCCATAATACCCCAAATGCATGTTTTTAAATTTGAGCCACAACAGGCCACTGATCACAGCATGTCTGAACAATCATGACAAAATAAAAAGGCATTGTTGGAGAATGCATTAACATGTTAACATTTAATAAGACACACATTTTATGCCTGTGACAACTGAAAAAAAAAACTTACTTGTACTGAATCTCCTTTCATACCCTAAAGAAAATGAGGACAACAACACACGACATGAGATACAAATCTTGTATGATACGTTAATGATATGGTATTGGAAGCCCCTGAACAACAGTGCATCACAAAATAGGGAGATTTCATATGTGGTAAAAAATAGAAAAAGCTGGAAGACAATAAGAAAAAGGGAAAACTGATTAAAACATTGGTCCTAAATGGATAAAGTGTTAATATTCAATTCTTCCATGATTCAGGGAAAACACATTTTAAGCAGGATGCTTAACTGACAAAAGGACATGGACTTTAACTTTAGTTTAAGCTTGTGTATTTTTGTTGTATATACTGTACTCAATCCAGTCGGTTTGAATGCCCAATGTAATGTAAATAAACAGGATACAAAAACAAAACAAAAGAAGAATTATCCTGTATTTACTAAATGACCCCAATAAAGGACACTTTCAGTCTTTTAGTGTCCCCTAGATGCTACTTAATGTACCTCCACATTCTACAAATGAAAGTACAAAATTCTGGAAATCTCACAAAAACCATCTCTGAAAAGCTGATGTATTGCTTTGTTTTTTTTTTTTCATTGTAGAAAAAATAGAAACATACCTGCATACCAGGGGAACCCTTAAAGAAAAAAAAAGTATGTTTTAAATTCTTGTAGGAAATATGAAAAATTACCTTTTCAACACAGAACTTAATAGCCTTAAAATAATTATTAGGAAATGCTGATATGCAGTAGATGTTGTATACTTCGATTTATAATTAGATTTTGCCTTCATGCTGAATGTCACTGAAAAAGAAACTGATGTACTGTAGAGCATGTTTACAGTAAATTACCTGTATATGATTAAATGATCAAATGAAGGATCAACAAGAAAATAACTGCCCATTTTATTTTATGCTAGTCTCAGAGCATCTTATCCAGGTTTGGTGCTATTCTAACGGAACATTTAGGACTGTTTGTATTTTTGCACCAGCTTTGGTTGATCGCATAGACTGCAAATGATTAAGTGATTTTAGTGCTACACAGCTACACAGCACACTTTGTTTCAAAGCTGTGTGGCTGACATACTCTCCTGACCTGGGGGTTCCCCCAGGACAGTGTACTGGAATAGCCCATAAACAACAGGATGATCTGAGAACTGAAATATCCATATTGGAAACTTTGGAATAAGACTGACAAAAGACCTTAAAGTCCATACATGTACTGAAGTTTATAGATCGATATTGTTGTTACAGTTTTCACATGAAAATGATCAAGTTTAACATTGCCTTGCAAAAGTATTTAATGTTTTGTTGCTTTAAAGGTTGCAGTCAAGACACATTGAAGTACCAAATAATACATTTGCCCAACCTACTCACATGTTCACAGCAAAAGACAAAAATAAAGAAGTAAATAATATGAAAAAAATGGAAAAGTCATGATTGCATAAGTATTCAAACCTTTTGCTGCGGCAAACCTTAGTTAATGTGTACAAAATTATCTTCATAATCCACAGAATTTGTTGAGTAGCCTCTATGTACAATATTAGTGGTTCTCTTGATTTGGGAGTAAAAACATTGGTTTCTGTGAGGTTCCTTGAAATGGCAGGGAATTTTGAGCAAACCCTCAACCATGAAGACTAAGGAGCTTTGTCAGGGATAAATGCACCAGTCAGAGTGGTATAAAAATACTGAAGTTCGTGAAGAGCTTGGAGAGCTGTGTCATTAAGAAATGGAAGATACATCATACTGTACAACCCAGACAGAGCCAAGATTAAGCTGTCTCTCCAAACTGAGCAGCCAGGAGGAAATTGGTGAGGGAGCCCACTGTGAGAAAATAGCTTGAATGTTAACTGGTTTTCAGTACTGTGTAAATAGCTGAAAAACGCAAAAAGAGAACATACACGTTGGCCTTTGCTTCCTGTCGTGCCTGGCAGTCCAGCGTATCCTCTATCGCCCTAAAGACGATAAAGAAAATGACATACAAAATGGATTGCAATGACTATCTACTACTTCAGCTTTACATGCATGAATATTCTGTCTCCAACACGTCATGAGATGTTGTCTGTAGTAAATTCACAGCTTGTTTTTCCTAGTGCATAGAGACGCTCAAATTGTATCCTATTGACAATGTGCTTAACTAGCATTCACTTATGCAGACTTTATTTGCAAAAGGAGGTATTTACCAACAACAGTGTCAACTGCCAAAAGCACTTGTTGAGTTTTGATGCAAATAAAATAATAAAAAATATATAAAAGATATATTTCAGTTCCAAATACGGACAAAGCTGCTACAGCACATACGACGCTCATATATTAAAACCACTGTGGTGAAGTGAAAGTCGGTCCAGCGACTAGACTACAACGCTTTCAATGACTATAATGTGAGCATTATTTAGAAGGATAAGGCTACATTACCCCTTTGATAAATCACAATACCATAATAATCCTAATATTTATTTAAAAATATATACTGTAATAATCATACTCGTCACCAGCCTAATTTCCATGAGGCATCTGTATAGTCCTGTTGATATAGAGATGTAGAGGACAACCTTGCATGTCTGGTGTTTGTCCACCACTGTACTGTACCTTAGGTCCGTTGCATCCTGGCCACCCGGGAGGACCCATTGCACCCTCAATGCCTGGGAGGCCCTGAAAGGAAAGACGTTGTTCTCAGCTGAATTAACTTTATAAACTATGCAGGACAAGCCATAACTACAGAGTGCACACCAACCAAAGTGGACGGATTCGATCATTTTATGTTTTAAAGACCAGAAGCAGGAGCTGCTCTTTACCCCCTTCCTCAACCCCCCCTGAAATTTGGACCTGCCAGTTCTTGAGCATGTTAAGTGGTCAGCACAAGAACACAAGACAGAAAAAGATAACTTACACCATCCTTGTTTGTGTTATGTGCAAGTGTCACTCACAACTCCTCAAGGCTCCAAAGAGCATTCAGACCTACTGTATCTTGCCAGGAAGAAGCCTTTTCACTGGCTTCTCCATGGCACTTAGAGTTTCTTGAGACACAGTGGATTTAATCACAGTGCAGTGACCCGTATCAGTGACTAGTATTAACTAGTGCCTCCTCCACTTCAGCGACTTGAAGAGAACACTAGACGATGCATGAATAATCCCCTATATTGACATCACTCCCCTGGACTCCCAGAAGTCTTCAAACCTCTTGTACCAGGAGGCCAGCCTTTTGGTATCTTGGCATGTCTAGGCTGTGTTGAGGAATAATGTTTTTCATCTGCATAGAACCTACACTTTGAACACAACAACTTCACCTGGAGCTGAGAAACCACAAGAATTTTCTGCTGCAAAGGGAAACGACTAAACCCAAAAGTGCTTCACCATTTGTACACTACTTCTTCATTTCTGTAGTCAACTCTTGACATTGGGGAAGCCCGGATTTAAACCATTGATCTCTAGACTATAGGGCCAAATCCATACTGTAAGGCCAGTCCATGAACTGGCCAGGAGCCTCTTGTAGATGTGAGTATCGCTATCTTGAATCCAGTATTCAATGTTAATGACCTTGTTTAATTACAGGAGCTGTAAAAAGAAAATACAAATACTGTACTTACAGGAAGGCCAGGGGGACCTGTAAAACCGTGTTCTCCAGGGAAGCCCTAAGATGAATACAAGATGAAAATAATTTTGCTACATATACATAATTTACTACCTCATCTCTGTCAACATTCATTTTAAATGAGAAACTTTATCTTTGACTTTATGTCCCTTTCAGAATATTGTCTGAAGTGTGGTGGGCAGCAGCCTTCAGGAAAACAGGAGGGACACGATTTTGCAATTACACTAAAGGTATTTTTATTCTGTCCATAACAGAACACCTTAGAAGTATAAGAGAACAACAGCCAACATGTAGGCTCAATGCTCAGGTTAAAAAATTAAATAAATATATTTTATAAAATCATATCAAATTGTACAATGAGTACAGTTTTCATAAATATTGACAAACCAATGTCTGTAAAGTTGCGGATGAAAATGCCAAAGCACAGAGTATTAATTAGCGGCAAATGGAAAAAAGCGATATGTCACAATTTTACGGTCCATTGTTCAAATTTTAAAATTTGACATTTTTGAAGAAAAGAACAAATTGGTCACCATTGAGCCTTTCATTCCTGGTGGCCCTAGAAATCCTTTATCTCCCTGTAAAATAATAAAAACATACTTTTAAGCATCATTAGCACAAAATGCATTTCCAACAAATCCCAAAGTATGATTACATAAACAAACACTAATACACGTACTGTAGATCAATAATAGTGATAGCAACAGATTAACTTCAGAAACTTCAGGACGTGTTACAGATCATGCCTATGAATGCATTTGCTGCTGAGTTGAGATGTACAGTAGCAGCATCTTAGATTTCAGGAAAACTATAAAAAAAAGGTTAAATGTTTTACTCAAATCCATAAAATGGAGACACACAACATAAAACATCAGCAAAATAAGGTCAGTTCTTTTCTGGATTTTGTTTGTTGACATACTATAACTGGTTTTGAAATTACTGTTTTACCTCAGATAGCAGTCCTGCCCACGGCAGATTTTAATTACCTGAAAACTGAAGCAGGAATTAACACATGGTTGTGCTTTAAGTAATGATTTCTCTAGATGGTATAATCACTGTTTGTGACAAACATTCCTTTTTCAATTAATCTATATGTGAACAAATACATTAACTGTGTTTGCCAGTTAAAGGAAGATCTTGTCTGAGACAAGATCTGATTTATTCTGAAATGTATTACTGTTGTATTTTTCTGAAGGGAATAAAGCAAATAACAAACAAACTGTTGCCAAACTGATTGATGCTTGATGCCATGTATCATTTCAAATGAAGTAATTGACTAACAAGAAAGGTCCACGGACATAAGTGATAAGTTGCCACATGCCAGTTTCACACTAAAATTGGGAAAAAAAACTTTTACAGACTTTTTAAAACAAATGACCCATTTTTACTGTGGAGACAGAGATTGAAACTAAGGTATTGTGAATATACCTGAAACCTTTGAATTAACACCAATCACTACTCAGTGTGTAAATCTACTGCATTTTGGGGATAAGGTTACTCAATAAAAAAAGTGAGATCCATAAAAATGGGACATAAAAATGTTCTTTCATATACAGACATGGACGTCAAGAGATGGGCAGCTGCTTCAAGCTTTTTAAAAAGCTAAAAAGGTGTGTATACTGTAGATCTCCTCCATTTTTTTACTTCTCCCTTCATTGAGAAGGCTTCACAGCACTAAATGTAGTCCTGCTCAGCTCCAAAACAGCACCTTTCTAGAGGCCACTAGGAACCTTAATGTACTATATAGATCTTGGATGTTGCACTAATTAAATAATATGAATTGTGTATGTGTAAGCATAATATATGTTTTTGTTGTTTTTGTATCTCTGGAGGAAGTGAAATATTTCAAACCCTGAGTATAGCCTATCTAGGAGTGTGGATAAAGATAATGTAGATAAAGTCTCCAATTTCTGATAGCATGAAGGCTTGTTTCCATCATCTCTTGATGAGCCTGGACAAGCATGTGTCTGCTCTCCAGTCTCCAAGCTCTACATGCCACATCTTCACAATTGAAGGAAGACATTGTTAGACAAGGAGCATTAGGACATGACATATGTTTGTGTCTCATGAAGACAAGAGGGAACTTCAGGACCATCTAGACATTTCTGCCAAGACCATCACACTTGGATATCTCCAAAAACTGGTTTATTGTTCACAACAGTAAGCATATCTTTCTGAACGTAAGCACCATCCTCACTATACATTATACAAAACTTTGATTCATCATGGAAGAGGACTTAGCTCCACTGCTTGCCAGTCCACCAAAGGTGACCTTAGTCCAGCCTCCACAAAACTGATGGGAGAAAGGTATTGCTGTGTTGAGAAGTGGAGCATATCAATTCTTACTTGTGCTTGTCTTTTATTACTTTCACCAGGCTTGACTCACAAGTGAATTTGCTTCCTTACCCGTGCCTCACTAATAAAGTGATTTAGTGTTTATGCAAGAGGCACATGAGTCACAGACAGCCTCAAATTACGAATCAATTAAAAGAAAGTCAAAAACATTTAATGAATATCCCAAATTCATATACTTTTTTCTACCAAAAGCTACAGGACACGCACTAAGTGGTATCTTTTTTGCTCATAATAAGTCTTGTATTGTATCAAGACACTGAGCTAAAGAGAAGGTAGATAGTAATGAAAAGAGTGAAGAATTAAGACAATCAGCACCTTTGGACCTGGAGGGCCATGGGGACCTTCATGACCCCGAAATCCTTTCAATCCAGGGAGCCCTGGTGGACCTGGAACACCTTGTGCACCCTGCAGTGAGATACAGTGAACAGTATTATTTCTCATCGTCCAAACAATTACACTTCCATTTCTTTTTCATATACTTATTGAGTGTGTGAAATGTATGGTATACACCAGCAGTTCTACATGATATACCTAAAGTACCCCCTAAAATACTGGAACAGAAATGCCCAAACAGTATTTTTGACTTTTATTTAGTCAAGCAATTTGTATTTGCTTTTGAAAAATCTTGTATTTTTTAAATTTGTATTGAAAGTAACATGAATGTTAAGTACAATATGAAACATGTTTATTTGGGGTAATTTCAGGCATACACCTGTTACTATTGGAACAAAATCATATTGTGTGTTCAATGCAGTAATTTAAAATGACCATAGGTACTGAGTCCAGTTCTATACCCTTCAAAATTCCATCTCCTGCTATCTTTGGCAACATCATCAGTAATAAACTGAAACAGTTTCATAGACAGCCATGCAAGCTCAGACCATGACAATTACCTCCACCGGGCTTCAGAATCTTAGAATTAACAAGACATAAATATATCCTCCTCTTATATAATTGAAATAAACTTCCATGTAGTTTTCACTTGTGACAAGTGGTTCATGTTCCATTGTTGATACTGAAGAAGTTCACTGGATTGACTTCATTAATGACTTTTGAGAATTTTAAACACTTGTTCTACAGTAGGTCTTCTCTTTTCTGGACTAAAAGCACTAGAGAAGGAAATATTTAAACCTGTCAATGCACAGAAGTCCTTAAAGTCTTAGAATGTATCTGGTTGCTCTTTTGTAATCTGATTGCAAAGCAGTTAAAGAAGGAAGGAGACATCACAGTTTTAACCCAGATTCTTTGTTCATAACAGGCTATAACTTTGACCCTCAATGAACCTCAGTCCAAACTGGAATGTATGTACAGTATTACTGTACTGTATATACTGTATTAAGTAAGGTTATTTCACACTAAATCACCATCAATCCAGGATTATCAGCATGTAAATTTCCCGTTAAAAAAATGAAAGATAAAGAACATTCTGGTTCCATTTATATGCATTCTATCTGGATACTTATAAAACCAACATAGCTGACTTCACACAGCCAGTTGCAAAGTAAGGCTACTGTACCTTCACTAGCTAGCTTTATGAGTGCAATCACCACATAATGCCAATAGAGGGCACTCCATAATTGGAAAGGCTTTTTTCTTCGTAGGAAAAAGCTGAATTTTGAAATTACCCTTCTTGTCTTAAAAAACCCTTTGCTCAACTATTCAAAATTGTATAACCCTGTAATACCTGTATATAAGGTATTTCAAAAATGATGAAAACATGAAAACATACTTGACCCATCAAAACGTAAGAATATACATCATACACCATGTACCATTTGTTATCCATAATGCGACAAATCAAGAAAATATTTTTAACTCATGACGTTTCTTGTTTGTGATGGATAAAGTCTTTTTTGAAGAGCAATCAATATTTTTTCTCTGACAGAGTGATCTACCTATTACATTCAGTACACCACTGTTTTTTTTGCACACTTTATTTTCAAGTTCACTTTGAAATAAAGCAATGCTGCAGCGTGACAGTATGATAACTGTATGACTCCTCTTAACTTAGATGGACATGCTGTGCAATTCATAGTAAGAGCCTGAGACGGTTTCAATCAGATTCTTGGAAATAATCAGATTTACATTTGTAGTGTTGCTACTCCTGGGAGGTCTACAAGAATTTGTGAAGAACTATAAACATAAAGGCTCAATTTCATTCATTTCAATTACACCAGGCATTGCTTCACATGACTAGTTTTCTAAGGTTCTGACACGAAACCACAGCTACAGGTAGTAAAATATTGGGAAATCATGACCAAGTGTAAAGAAGTATTGTATACCATGATACCATCCAACTACCATTAGAAAGCTGCTTACACTATACTGTATCTGGTGAGGGTTATGCCCATTGCAGGGCAAACACATACTATATATTGGGACCAGTTAACCTGATCAATAGGACCAAGACACCAGCTGTGGGGAATCATGGAAAAGCGGTTTTAAGAATATGAGAAACATAAGGGAATACTGTCAAAAGTGATATACTGTATACTTTAGATTTGGTATCATGAAGATTCAGTTATCTCATTTAGTTGGTAGTACTTGTCCAGCCAATTTATAAAAGAGGCCAGGGCATCAACTTCTAAAACATGCCTGAGTAGTGCCTCTTCTCCTTGGTTTTAAATGAATTTCCACATCATTTCTACTTGTGTCCTTTAGTTTATTTCACAGGTGATTCTGAAGAGGTCCATTGTACTGACATTAGAGAATTTTAAATCAGATCCCTATTCTCTTTTCAAGGCTGAGAAGATTTAGTTCTTTAAGTCTGTCAATTAAGGACATTCCTGCCCTGGAATGCAGCTGTAGACTGTACTGGACTGATTGTAAAGCAGTGATAACATCTTTGAAAACAATTTTTTACAAAACTGTTTCATTTTCAAATAGTCTAAACAAGGTTTGGCTAATGTGTTGTACAATTTAAACATGATATTCGCTGATTTAAATTTTTCACATTTTCTGAAATATCTTGACATCATATTTGCATTTTTTATAGCTTCCTCATTTTGTCCAGACAGTATACAGTACATAAACAAAATTATTTTTCATAGTTAGCCTCTACAAGCTTATTATGTCAAATCTCCATATTTATAGTGTGCTTTTGCTACCTTCATATAACATTCTGCATACGTCTCCACTAAATATCTTCTAAGTCTTGTCCAGGCTTGAATTTTGTCTAGGTCTGTTAGCTAAGGTCTGTGTTTCCTTAACTACTGCTACAGTGTTTCTTCCTAGTTTGGTAACATCTGCAAAGTTGATTAGATTATTGGCTACATCAGACTCTATAACATCAACATAAATAAGGAAATAAGGAAGACCAGTGGAACTCACATACTATAGATTACATTTACCCTTTACCTGTGCTCATATAAATATAAGAAATGCTCCAAACTAGTGGAGGTCATTCAGCCCATCTGATACATTTGGTAACTTCTGTAGAAGCTTTTTCATCCAAAGATCTCATCCAGTCATTTCACAAAGGAAGCCAGAGTACAGGCTTCAAACCACATGGTAGGTTGTTCCAGGCTTCCACAAAAGAGTGCCTCCTATTTTTCATTCTAAATCTAAATGCACTTCCATTGTCATTTGCTGACTTGGTCAGTGCCATCGAGGATTTTGAATACATGTACTGTATTGAGTCCCCTTGATATGAAAATAAAGCTTGTCCATACACCTTTCATCTGTGTTTGCCTGCAAAGCTCATCCTTCATTTTGGCCACGTATTCATCTTTTGTAAATGTAGAGATTCCTTCTCTACTGCACAGAGTGCCTAGTGCAGTAATGAACAATCCTGCGCCAATCCTGTCAGCTGGTTCTCTAGGTCTCTTAAAAGTACCAGCACTAGAAGAGCTGTTTAATTGGTCCCATTAAGCCAATTGTGAGCTGATTTAGGTCATTAAGAGCTGGGGTGGAATTAAGGACCATGTCTGGCCTAGTGCCTTTTTAAAAGTAAAAAAAAAAATTACCTTGTTTATTGTTTGGGGTGGAAAGCTTAAAGAACATCCGGGACAAAACCGTGACCATCCTTCAGTGCTCCAGGACCAGACATTATTTTATTGAATAATTGATCAAGAATGTACAGGTGCTCCTAATCTTTGGAAACAGGTGACCTATAAGATGGACTGGGAATCTCCAATGACCAGAACTGGAGACTCCCAACACTATGCTTTACCAGGAAGTACATGTTGCAAGGAGAAACTATGGAAAAAGAAAAATAGATTGTTTTGAATAAGCTACAGTAGGCTGTAAGTGTACCCTACATATTGTATAGAATGTATAGACTGAAGAAGTTATATGTCAGTTCTGCAATTTTTAAAGAATTATTATTCAAGGTTATTTCCACCTAATTTCTAACCGTTTCTTCCAATGCTGGGCTGCAGGAGAACCAGAGCTTATCCTTGCAAGCTACTGTATCTGTGCAAGGCAGGATGCACCATGGATAATACACCCGTTTTTAAAAGGCAAAAGTCATTTTACAATGTTTTCCAAACAAATTTTAAATTGCTAAAAGATTTTATATTTCAGTTCAGTATATAATATATATATACAGTATATGATATGTGAAACCAAGCGTGCCAATACTTTAAATTATTTGTAAGCAAAAGTCTATATATGAGTGTACTTTTCTCCACATTTATATGCTTGTTTTCTGTATCAGTTTTTACTTGTACTCTAAAAGACCCTTGCACGTGTGAAACAAATTGTGATAAAAATATTCATTTGTGGAGTTGTCCCCAGGAAACTGGATTTGTTGGAACCTGTATGAGATGTGACATTTTCTAAGTACGTGTACCTGTATAACTGCTGAACAGTGTTTTTTATGAGGATGGTGAAGGGAGGGAGATTTTAAACTACATCACACATGAACAGCTGCTGCTAACACAATGGAACACAAATGATGTGTTACAGAAAATATCTTGTCAGGCCTGGGACCAACACCATACAAAATTGATGGCATTATCACAATAAAACATGAATTGAATGTGCCTACTCAGGTTAAATGAACTTGTACTTCACATGCAAGTGACAGTGTTCTCTGTCTAACAGATAATCAAAAGTAAGTTCCAAACAACTGCCTTCCAGAGAAATTTAGATCCTTTATGACAATGCCAAATAGTGTCTCATCCATTTACCAAAAATGAGAGTAAATCTAGCATTTGCTATGGAAGACCATTTCAATGAGCATTATGTCAGGAAAAACGTTTTATCAGCTTTTATCAGATGAAGGCATGACTGAAGTATGTTGAGTATTAAAAACATGAATGCATGGGTAACAACAAGGTAAGACGAATGTGTTTAAAGAAAGTGATGATTTACAAATCTAATCTAAAAGATCATTTCTGGTCATTTAAGGTGGTGCTTTCCAAACTACAGTATATGCTATGGCACACTGGTGTGTGTAAAATGGCCTCAGGTGTATACCACAATCGGAACCGATTGTGTAAAATTTGGATATTTAACCAAATTTTAAGCATTTTACTGAAACCCTGTTCAAGCTGTGCTTGTTGCTCACAGTAGTGCAGAGGGGTTCCTTATATGCTTTCCACTGAGCATACATAAACCACATTACTGAAAGGCCAATGTTATCTACAGTACAGTATGTTAGGATGTTTAAAAAATCAGAATGCTTCACAACAGCTGTTATACTATTCAGGACATTGATCAAAATGCACAAATGTACTGTTACTACACTTTCTGCACACCTCATTTTTAAAAGTAATTTATTGAGGACCTCACACTGTTAAAGAGTTTCTACAGAAGAAAGGTTTATTGTTCTGGAAGTTGAGATATACTAAAAAACTCCCTCAGGTGATGAAAACAATTGCATGAAATTCAAGAGACTCTTGTAGGCAGTTATTTTTAATTACCACCCAGGAAATTACTAAATGTGTCAGCTTGGTGATCTTTTGCATTGCATTCCATCTCATTATAGTTGGCACACATTTTCTGGTGTTATTCAAAAAACAGAACTGGAATTGCTTTAAAAGTATCTTCATGGCTGAACTTTACCATTCTTATGGTAAATTATTGTTTCATTAATTAATTCACAATACTTGATGGAATCTTTTTGGAATCAGCATAGTGTAGTGGATAAGTGTCTGTTCTCAAAACTAACGAGTTGGGGATTCAAGTACATGCTGCAGACACTCCCACTGTGCCTTGAGTGAGGTACCATTTTAATAGCATTTTTCAATTGAATGAAACACAGACTCAAGAAGGTACGGTATTGAAGAGGATACATTTTCTAAAGGTTTTATGTATGGATTTGCATGTTTAAGGCCCATATTTTGTGGTTTGAGAGACATTTTCAAATCTTATAAATGGGGGCTTTCAGAGACAGATTACAGAATTACTCAGTTTAAACCCCAGCTAGGGTTAGGGTTAGGATTCGTAATACAATACTTACTGTAGATGCTTTTTAGCTTCACTGCTGTATTTCGGGACTGAAGTGAACTTTTCTCCCATCTTTAATCTTTTGGTTCGGAAATATTTGGCTGCTCGTATTACACTGTGCATTTCAGGAATGGTATTCCAAAACTGAGTCAAATCAAATGTGTTAAGACAACCCATTCCATTGTGTAAACCCTCTCAATATTGTCATTTCAAACGGAACCAGAAGGAAAAACGGAGTCAAAATTAAATGGTTCTTGTAACTCTAACCCTAGTCTGGCTTGAAAGCAGCATGCTCATGTACGGTACCTTACACCTCAAATACTCCAGCCCAACCAGCTGGATGAATGGGGACCATGCTGGTTGTGGGCTCTTTGATGGACTGGCGCAGAGTCACGTGCTCTCTGATTGTTTTCTGCCTAGAAACCAGAATGGACTCTGGCTCGATGAGCCTTGTGTCGGGCCACAAAGGAATAACCTACCTACTCTTCTTTTTTAACCAGATACTCAATGCATTAAAACATTATTACTCTTACCTTGTCACCTTTCATTCCATCACAGTAACATTTTGATTTTCCAGTGCACAAACAACCCTGAAAAGCAAGGACAAGTCAGTCAGACAGCAATATTCTCAGCGCTTTTTAGCACAAACTTTCCCACAGTAACCTGTCTAATGAATAACATCACAATTGCCTATGACAGTTGTTTCTGGGAGTGTGAGGACATCTGAGGCAGATATCAAAAGGAATGTCCTGCTTTCCTGGATAACAAGATTCATTTCCCAAAAATCCAAGCCTTTTTCCTCACTTGTTCTTTCAGTGTTGTTGCATGTGGTCACTTCTTCAAACCAAATTAGGAATGCTAACAGATATCTCTATTATAGTTTCTTCCCTAAATGTTTATTTTGAAATAATTTCCCTGATTCCCTGAAAAGGTTGATTATTTAAAACTGGTGTGAAGATAACAACTCTCTTGTAGACCTCGATCCAGACATTTTGTTTTATGGAGGTTTGTGTATATACAGATATCTTGTGTATGGAAAAATACCCTTTCAAATGTCCTTGAAGACATTTCTCACTAGAACATCACATTTTTATGTTCATTATCTTCCCAGGACAAAAGTTAATTCTTCTTCAACAAGAAGAAGTCTGCTTAATCCCTTTTACAGCTTGTTCTTGTAATTCTTACACCAACAATACCTTGTATAGTATTTTAAACAGTGAGAAAGTTAACATCAGTATGGCACTGTCTGTCACGTATTTTAATCATTAATTTAAATCTCTATTATAAAAGAGAAAAATGGCATTTTTCATAAGAACAGTTACAAATGAGAGAAGGCCATTGTATTTTCATTACAATACAATACTAGTCCGTTTGGTACAGTAGATAGTAGTAAGTTAAATGATCCAAGGATCTCATGTAACAGTTACTCAAAAGACACCAGGGTATCAACTTCAACAACATGGCTGGGTACAGTAGCTTGTTCCACACTCCCACCACTCTTTGGGTAAAGAAGTACACCCTGTGCTTCATGCACTTCCACAGAGTTTTCACTCTTGTCCTCTGATTCACAAGTCACTGCTATTTTCAAAGTGTGTGACTGGGGTCTTTTAAGGTTATCTGTTATATATTATTTCTTGAAATAATCAAGTTTAAAAAATAGTGAACTGGATGGCACAGTGGTGCAGTGGTTAGCATTGCTGCCTCACAAGACTGGGGCCCTAGGTGAAATTCCAGTTTGTATGTTCTCCCCCTGTTTGCATGGGTTTCCTCTGGTTGCCCTGGCTTCCTCCCACAGACCAAAACCCACAGACTGGTAGTTGAATCGGCTTCTGGGAAAATTCGCCCTGATGTGAGTGTATGCATGTTTGTGTGTGTCTGTGCACTGGACTGGTGTCCCATCCAGGGTGTATCCCGCCTTGATCCTGTTGCTCCAGACATAAGGCTCTGGCTCCTCTGCGACCCTGAATTGGATGTTAGAAAAGAAATGGATGAAAAAACACTAAACTATGAAACTGTTGATTGATTTTGTTATTTGTCAGACATAAAGCATGTTCTACAATGTAATCAATGACATTAAGTCAAATCTAAATACCAGTGTTTACCACAGGTTTCCAGATTTAGGGCATTACCTATTATTTTTATTGTTTAATTAATAATAAAAAGTATTAAAACTCATCTGTTCTATTGCACTCACCCCTATCACATATGTGTACAGGCAGCAAGGCAGAAAGGTCTTCACCCCGGTTTTTTTTTTTTCAATGTAGCAGAATATTTCTTTGTTAAATGATTGTTATGGCTTCTAATGAGAGATATCATCTACATTGCACTGAGACTCAGGTGAGAGATACTGATACAGTTCCTGCGTTGTTTGGGTTTTTGAAAGCATGCAGCAGGGAACAAATAACTCAGGATCTACTGAGAAATCAGAGACAACAGAAAGCCTGGCAGACCAGGTGACTCTATCCACACCTTACACACAGTCACTTCAGGCAGACAGCAGTATGAGATGCCCCATCAGCACTTTCAAGACAGTCGAAGACAGTTTGCAGTCACAAATGAAAAGCTTTCTGATTCCTTTTGTAAAGATCTTTTCAGTGTAATCCAGCCAGTTTACTGTGTAAAAAACTAAAACACTGGGACAACATATTTCCTCTTACTCTATATACTGTATGTGGTGAATGCAGAATTTCTATTTGAAATAAAAGCTTATAAAGCTTATAAAGAAATAAAAACTACCAAAGCTGTTTTGTTTGATTTAAAATATGTAAAAAAGTGGATTTACTACCCCACAGGCAACAGACTTTCATAAGAAAACAAAATCCAAATTAAAGACTAATCTGTCTGTTTTTTATTACAAAACATCACGTAGCTGTATCATGAAAAAAGGTCTCATGTCTGTTGCTATTGCATAATGTCAAATTTGGTCATTTTCACACATTTTGTACATAACTACAAATTTAAATTTAATAACATAACAATTATTTCATAATGCACATTTGTAGCATCCACTAATCACAGTACAGTCATGCCAAGAATTCTCTTGACTTCTGATCCAGAATCCTACAACACAAAAACCCACAGAAGAAGACGTTTTAAATCTGGAGCAGTCGCCAGGTACAGCACTAAACACTACACAGCCCTTAATCAAAGTATTAGGCCTCATTCCTCCAGAGTACAGCATATGGGTCTGTTTGTGTTCTAGTTGTGTAGTTTAATTTTTCCTCACTCATACTGTACACTATATATAATTATATCAATAAATTAAAGAATTAAACATTCATTATATTTCATGAAACCTAAAATTCACAGTAATTGAAGAATAAGTACCTATCCAACTAAAAAAGATGTTTCCATCTGAACACTTGAAATGCCTTACAGCCATCTGCAGTGAATTGCCTATTGAGGTGTACTTGTGAATGCAAAGACAAGGGTGTTGCCATTAGAGGATGCCAAAGAGGCAGTTACAAGTGTAATGTGAACAGCTGACACCTACAATATGGTGAATAGATGACTGGCAATTGGAATGTAGGAATTTTCACAATTAGATTGGTGACCTAATGTATATACATTCTGTCAGTTGATCATTTAGTGTCAGTATTAGTAACTATTTTAGCATTTTTAAAACAGCAGCCATATCACCCTGCAGCTCACAACTGGCAACCCACTGAAGCTAAGCAGGTGTGAGCCTGGTCAGTACCTGGATAAAAGACCTCCTGGGAAATACTAAGGTTGCTGCTGGAAGAGGTGTTAGTGGAGCCAACAGGGGGTGCTAACCCTCCAGTCTATGTGGGCCCTAATGCCCCAGTATAGTAACGGGGACATTATACTGTAAAAAAGGCTCCGTCCTTTGGATGAGATGTAAAAGTAAGGTCCTGACTCTCTGTGGTTGTTAAAAATCCCAGGGTGTTTCTCGAAAAGAATAGGGGTGTAACTTCAGTGTCCATTGGCCCTTACCAATCATGGCCTCCTAATAATCCCCATCTGTGAATTGGCTTCATCACTCTGTTCTCCTCCCCATTATTGGTAGTGGTGGAGGGGAGTCCCCATTACCTGTAAAGCTCTTTGGGTGGAATGTCCAAAAAAGCGCTATATACTGTAAGTGTAAGCTATTATTATTAAAACCCCATCATTATAAAGATATGAGCTGCTTCCTGAACGTTTTTATTAACATGGGAGTTAGAGTATCTTCATTTCTCCATTCTGAGGTGAGAATCCAGGATACCTCTATTGGCCATTATGTAAGCAAAAGCACAAAAAAACATGCTGCACTGTTACAACCAGAACAAAGTAAAGCTGTATTCTTACCCTGGGAGTGCAAGATGCTGGAGTTTTTTTTAATTGTTTACATATTCTTAATCTTTTGCAAAATTAAAATATACAATTATAAAAAGTGTGTAATCTCTCATGTACTCTTAATTTTAAATTAAGATAATTTAAATTATTGCAAAATTAAAATATGTAATTCTCTTTCATTCTCTAATTATGATGTATGTTAGGTTTAAAGAACAAACCTACTAAGCACAGTGAAAACAGATTTTGAGAACCAAAGGGGTGCAGGCTGCAGGCTGAAAACCACTGATCTAAAGCATTCCTAAAGGAAATGTGAAATATACATATATATGACCACTAAAAACAATCAATAAAGGACGTTGTGTGCCTAATAAAATATGAAAAAACAATCAAATCTATGCATTTTCCAAAAAAACACCAAACATGGAAGGATTCTAAAAAATACTCTGCAGTCACACACAACTACAAGGAAGAGGTTAAAATGCCTTTTAAGGAAAGGACCCTGACTATGCTGTTACGGTTTCTGTGCCATGGAACTTGTACATCTTTCTACAGGAACGCGTTTTTCAAATAAAAAATCATTTGCAAAGTGTGACTTATGGGCATTCCCATCTCCACTGAGACACCTAGAACTAAGACTCAGAAAATATCTTACCTGTAGCTGAACTGGCAGCAAAAGTCAATTAATTAATGCCTATTTAGTTCGGTGAATTATTGCTTGGGAGAATTGTGAAGTCATAGTCACAGTCCATGATCTACTGGCTCCAGTACAAAAAGCAACATACCAGACACAAAGATAATAATCTCTCAATTCATCTGATTGTGATCTGGAACACATACTGTAGGTGAATGCATGAATTTCAGGGCAGTACCTGCTGTATTTGAGGCACATTATTGTACATCCATCTTATTATTCTTAAGAACTCTTGAAAGCTGTGCTGCAATAAAGTCACACTGCCATTTTATTAGAAATGAAATGTAAATTGTATTACTACAAACATTCAAAGCATGAAAACACCTCCTCTAAATATGCATCTGAGGGGAACAATGGTCTTATTATATTATATTAAAAATGTCTGAGAAGAAGATCCTCAAAATAAATTTTGAATTAAATAAATACAATGGCTAAATTGTAAAAACTCATATTAATATTTTTGTGCCAAAGATATTACACACAGTAACAATAAACATGAAAAAGAATCACCCTAGTTTCAAGGAGCAATCAGAATCCGGTATTTCAATAATTCAGTAGATCCTGGGGGCTGAGTTTGAAGGCACCATCCTATAATAACAGCATAAA